TTACTTTGCATATATGGTTATAACCCCTTTGTCAATCCTATGTTGTATATTTTTGCTTTTTGCCTTTCTTGTAGAGGTTTTACCTATTTTGTTGATATTTTATAAAAATTAGCTCTTGGTTTAGTTATTTCTATAGGTTTGATATTGAGCTTTATTTTGTTTATTAACATATCTATGTCTAATTTTATCTATTAATCTATTTCACCTATTTTTCCTCCAATTTTCCTAGCTTTTTGAATTGAACATTTAGTTCAGTTATATTAGTTCTTTTTTAATTATAAATGAGTTTAAAACCATGAATTTTCTTCTTCTTTTTTTTTTTTTTGAGACAGAGTCTCACTCTTTTGCCCTGGCTAGAGTGCCGTGGCGTCAGCCTAGCTCACAGCAACCTCAAACTCCTGGGCTCAAGCGATCCTACTGCCTCAGCCTCCCGAGTAGCTGGGACTACAGGCATGTGCCACCATGCCCAGCTAATTTTTTCTCTATATATTTTTAGTTGTCCAGATAATTTCTTTCTATTTTTTTTAGTAGAGACGGGGTCTCGCTCTTGCTCAGGCTGGTCTCGAACTCCTGAGCTCAAACAATCTGCCCGCCTCGGCCTCCCAGAGTGCTAGGATTACAGGCGTGAGTTACCGCGCCCGGCCTTATGAATTTTCTTCTTGATATGGTTTTGGCCTCATCACATAATTTAATAAATAGTGTTCTAATTATTTGTGGTTTGTAAATAGTCCATAATGTTGGATTTTATTTACTCTTTTTCCCAAGCATTATTGGAATATTCAAACTTTCCAAGGAATTGGAATTGTAAGTTAGCATTGTTTTAAGTTTCTCATTATTCTTTTATGCAACAAATATTTTGGCGGTGTTTTCCTCCATGTCAGGAATCATACCAGACACAGGGGTTAATAGAGTAAGTGCAACCAGCATAGTCACTCTGCTCATAGGATTCACATTTGCTTGAGTGAGACACAAATGTAATCACGCAATCAGTTACAATCCTAATGTATATTATGGAAGGAAATCTCACAAGACTTCTAAACTTCACTACAAGTGAAGTTGCCTGTTACATTTAGTAAACTTGCCTTAATCTTAAGGTCCTTACCTCTTTTCTTCACTGTGAGTGGTTTTAGTATCTGTTTGACTCCAGGACAGCTGATCATTTATTTTCTGTATGTAGTTCTGATGATTTCTTCCCGTAAACTCTAAAATCTAAAGGGCTCTCAATTCATATGAGGTTTGCAGTTTACGGTTCTACTTGTCATAAAAGTTTAAAATGTGTAAGTAAATGCTGTTATTTTCTGAGTAAACAGACCCTGTATTTAAAAAATTAAATCTTGGAAGAATTTTTATGAGCATAATATATGCTTATTCATTTAAAAATCACTAAGTACTGAAAGGCTTAATGAAACAACAGACACTCAGCACTCTGTCTCTGCACACCCCATCCATTCCCCAGAGGCAACCACTTCCAGTTATTTAGCAGCTTCTTCTCGTAGTAGCTTCTTAGTTTCTGCCACCTTTTCACCAATGTGTGCTTTTTTTTTTTTTTTTTGAGACAGCGTCTTGCTCTGTTGCCTGAGCCAGAGTGCAGTGGCGTCTTCATAGCTCACTGCAACCTCAAACTCCTGGGCTCAAGCAGTTCTCCTGCCTCTGCCTCCCAAATGACCGGGACTACAGGTGCACAACCATCATGCGCCCATAGAAAAATAGATTTTTCTATTTTTTGTAGAGACGGGGTCTCACTGTGTTGCTCAGACTGGTCTCAAACTCCTGACTTCCAGTGATCCTCCTGCCTGGGTCTCCCAAAGTGTTAGGATTATAGGTGTGAGCCACTGTGCCTGGCCACCAGTATGATTTTGCTACAATTTCTTGACCCATCCACTTTAGACAGCATCTTGTGACTTCTTCCTTTGATAGATGTTGGTTTCATTTTCCCGAACCATCTTACCTCATTCTTTAAAAACTCTCATCACTCTGGTTAAATCACTTTTGTTAAATGAGTATTCAGTATTGCAGTGATTAGAAATGAGTAAATATGCCTTACTGTATAGTCAAGTAGTAAATTACAAATAATGTGTCCTTTCTTGAATATTTTGTCATTTCCCTGGAATTTCTAATTACCTTTTTTAAAAAAATTTTTTACCCTATCTACCAGACATATATATATGTGTGTGTGTGTGCACATGCATATAATCCTAAAATTATTTTATTTTTTATATATAAGTATATATGTATAAGATATGGTAATGTAATAAATATATCTACCCACCCATGTGCCATCATACCAGGTTTTCTATCAAACCTTCCTTTTTTCTGGAGACATCTCTTCCAGGGCTCATCTGACATGGACTAGTTGTTCTTTTTTTTTAGCTTTTTACCCCAATTCCACCTACAGCTACAAAGGACCAGTTGTTCTTAAGGCCTGCTGCCCATGATTCATCCCAAAATCTCCCTTTTCTACTCCTCGATTGGATCCACCATTTCCTGTATTCCATGTTTTCCTGTTCCCAGTTTATTTCTTCATTTTGCTAGAGGAAGTTCTCAAGCAGTTTTCAAATACATCATGGGAAATATATGTTCTGAGCTTTTTCATGTCTTCTAGCAACCCATGTATTATTCTTGAGAAATTTGATGCTCTTCTGAATCTCATTTGTAGGCACAGAAGGGAGCAGAAGAGTGAAGTTAACCAGATCCAGTCCTCCTGAATGTGCGTGTGAGGGTGTGTTGGGAGTGGGGAACACAGATGACAGGCCGATCACCTCTGAGGTGCTGTCCATATAGGCCCTTGACAGGCTGGACAGATAGGCTGAGCATGGCAAGGGACACGGGCAGTCCCCAGCTGGAAAGAACTAGCAGCCTGGGCACCAGAAGCCAGCATGGCTCAGCTGTAGTTGTGTGAGAATGACATCTGGATTTGTCTGACTGCTGCCATTTCCAAAGAAGTCGAGGGGTTCTACGTTGAATTAATTTTCAAAAGAATGACCTCCTGAACAAGGGAGGTGCAGGACATGCTTAACTTAACAATGGGGTAGTTCACAATTAGGTAACTTGTTCTGATCTGAGTATATATTGTTTGTTTGGCCAATTTCTGATCCCTGAGTGTTCATTTCAAATGCCACCTCTCTATATAACTTTCCTTGACACTTCCCTTGCCCATGATTCATTTATTATTTGTCTGGGTTCTTGGTCTCTATTTGGTCACTTAACATATTGCTGTCATATGTCTCTGTCCTCTACCCAAGGTTATTTGGACAAGCTCCTTAATACTTGTGATTATGAACCTGAAATGGAGGCAGTAGTCCTGGCTCCATTTTTGCCACTGGGCTTTGTAAAGATCGGACAAGTTGTATATTACAGTGCTTTACAAACAGCAAGTGGAAGATGGCGGTTTTTCCTGTCTGTTTGTTAATGTTATGAATGACTACCTTCAAATTAGCAAACCAGTTAAGCAGCCATTGTCCCTAGCATCTGTGTAGCACCCCACCCTGATATGTCCTGAATTTCTCAGTGGAAAAAGAAAGGTTTGCTTTTATTCTCCAACTTCTTCAGCAGTGGAAACTTTCTTTCAGCTTATTCTTCTGCCTCTCCTCTCTGAAGTTCTTGTGCTGTCACTGCACACGTGCAGCAGGCTGTCTCATGGCTGTATCCTCTATGGTCCCCAAGGCTGAGGAGGGAGGACTCAGGCAGCTCCTGCCCAAAGTAGCCTGGGGCTCCCTGATGACCAGACATGACCTCAGTCTGGGATTTGCAGACCCAGGTCTCAGGAACTACACTGCTACCCCTGGTGCTGGGAAGTCCTTTTCCCACTTCTCACTGTTGTATAACGAGGTTGTTGAATGCCGGCCTACCTCAGTCTGATGAATGTGGTGGGTCTGTTGGTCCAGGTCCTTGCACACACCATTGGAGTTTCAACACCAAACTTGGCTAAGGATGCTCCAGGCCTACAGTTCCTCATTTGCATGCCTGAGCTTAGCCATTGACCTCCAATCCCAGAAACAGTGGTCCTGGCAGCTAGACTCAGGGAGCTCCCAGCATCAGTCACATGCTGTGCCAAGGCCAGCCCTGCCCCAGCTCCTTTCTCAAACCTGGTCTCTAAGCTACACTCCTTTCCTGAAAGCCATTGTATTCAAGGAGACTTGTTGGCGTTTTCTGGCATTGGTCTTTGACTTGAGACATACAGGATGACCACAGCATGAGTCCTTAACATCAGTTCTTAAAAACTAGGGTTCTGGTTTCTATTCCTTCTTTTCTAGAAGGCTTTATATGCACATTGAACCACCCTTTCCCTGGTGACCAGCTTTACACACCAGAGATCTCAGTCACAAAGTATCTTGCTTCTCTAATCTCTGGCTGTGCAAACGTGCTCATCCTGTATTTGCTTAACTAAGTCAGCCCTTCAATGACCCCTTCATATGGAAAAGAAGGTTGTCTTTTGATTAAAACACCACACCCAGTGTAACACAGTTGGACTGTGGGGACTCTGGAGGAGATAGCCTGGATTAGAGTGGTGGCCTGGCTGTGTGCATATGTACATGTGCATCGTGTGGAATTTCCTGGTGCCCTCAGCCATAGAGATGTTGAGGAGAGAGCCAGTAGCTATGGACTCAGGGAAAGAGACCTGGCGTAGCTGTGAAATTACACTGCAGGTGACCTTGAGTGATTTGCTTTTCTGTCTGAGCGCCTTGCTGTGGTAGGGTCTCTGCACCCATGGAGGTTGGTGCTATGCAGGGGATTCCGACGTCATATAGAAGAGTAGACTAGGCAGCTTTGGGGGATATCTTCCAAGATTCTATGAAAATGCCAAGATTGAGGCTATGAAACTTTCCATCTCTGCATGAAACAGCCGTTTAAAATCTTTAGTTGTGCCCAGATTTGGCGCACCTTAGACACACCATTTAGGACGTTTCCTTTCGGTCTTCATCCACACTTATCCTCTCTCTTCAGCTTCTTCTGGTTTATTCTTTTTCTCCCTCATAATCTATATTTTCTTCTCATTCCAGCTTTTGAATCGAAAAGACAAGACCACCTTTGAGAAATTGGACTATCTGATGTCTAAAGAAGATAATTACAAGCGGACTCGGGAATATATCCGAAGCCTGAAGATGGTTCCCAGTATTCCCTATCTAGGTAGGAGTTTGAATGGCTCATTAATTTTAAGAAACCTGCTCAGTGCCAAATAAGATGTCTGTATAGTTTCTAATTGAGAAATTTCCAGAAAGCAGCATGGGCCATGGATAAAGAGGCAATTGGTTGGCTCTTTGGACTAGAAGAGGCTGTTGATAGTTCCCAGGAATGGGAACCTGGATGAGGGTGAGAAACAAGGGATGTTTTGCTTTTTATACAAGTGACCTGTAAACCCCAGGGCTCCCCAAGCTGCAGCCCAGATGGGTCACAGTGACAGTGACAAGACTCCTACTGGTTCATCCACATCCTCCCAGACTGGGGGAACTCAAACCCTCTGTTCTGGTTCTCTGGGCATTATTGGTATATTTCATAAGATTCGTACAAACAAAATTATAGTAATGATTATTAATTTTTCTGGTTAGAAAATAATGCATGTTCATTGTAAGGAACTTGGAGGAGAAGAAAGTTAATATCATTTACTATCCCACCTAAAGATATTTTGCTGCGTATCTTATCATTCATTTGGGTGTATATAGAAAATATATGTTTACTCCATCCTGAACACTCAATGTTGTTATCTACATTTCTATACGATGACTCAGCCTCATCAGATGGACCTGTCAAACTCGGATCTGCTCTTGAATATTGACCCATTTAAATTGTTTCTATGTTTTTGCTATAAAATGTCATGATGAACATCCTCATTACAAAAACTTTATACATATAGTTATGATTATTACTGTGTAATAAACTCCCAAAAGTATGATTACATCTTCAAACTTATGCAAAAACTTAGGCGTTTTCATGTATTTTTCAAAATGTTCTTCAGAGAGGTTGTATCAACTTATACTTTCATTGGAAGGGGTTGAAATTGCCTGTTTCTAACTACGTGCACAAATCCTGTGTGTTTTCATGGCTTTTTTTCTTTTTCTTTCTTTCATTTTTTTATCTGCCAATTTCATAGGCAAAAAATGCTTCTTGTAGTTTGGATTTCAGGGTTATGCTGATTTTATGAAAAAACTCTTTTAATCTTTTATGATCTAAAATAGTTTTAATAACAAGGAAAACTAAGGTTTTATAGAAATTACTCCTGATATTTGCAGGGGATATAGTGTAATTTTTGGGGGATATATCTTTAACAACTTTTAAAATTTCTACCATGAGCATTGTTTATTTAGATTTTCTAATTCTTTTACGGCTAACTTGGAAAATTTATTTTTTAGTAGAAAATCATCCATTTGATACAAGTTTTCAAAATTATTAGCATAGAGTTTTTTCCTTATTTAATTTTTTGGAGTATTATACAGTATTCTCTAATAAATTCGAACTTCTGTGTGTATATGGTTATATTTGTTTTCGTATTCCTTATGGCTTGTATTTTTGTGTTTTTTTTTAATTTTCCTTGCCAGAGTTTTGTCTATTGGTCTGTCCAAAGAATTTGGATTTTGGATTTTGTTTATCAGTCTTACTTTCTTTTTGCCTTTTAATTTACTATATTTTATCAATCTAGGATGTGCTTTTTCTTTCCACATTTGTACACCTCTGAAATTGGGATACATCTTTCAATTGATGATAAAGCATTGTGACATTGTTTAATGGGCAGTAATTTTTCTTAGTGATACATGAAAGGTATACCTTAGATGATATCTTAAGTATGAAATATGGAATTTCTGCTTTTTTCTTTTATAATTCCTCTCTTATTTTCTTAAAGTTTTATTATTTCTATTAACTACTGGAGTTGAATTATTGGTTCATTTATGTATATATAATTCTTTTCACTTTAATATGGAAAACAGTTAAGGCTATAAATTTTCCTCTATTTGCTGCTTTTGTTGCATCTTGCATGTTTTGATGTATAGTGTTCTCAGTGGTATTCCTTAAATGCACTGTGTAGTTTTAATTTTTTTTAATTCAAGTATTATTTAAGATAGTGGGTTTTTAATTTTCAAGGGCTTGGGATTTTTGTGTTTTTTTTTTAAAACAGCTTTATTGAAATATAATTAATACATAATACATTTAAAATATACAATTCAGTGTCTTTTAGTATATTTACAGAATTGTGCAACCATAACCACAGTCAATTTTAAAACATTTTTATAACCCCAAAAAGAAACCCTGTGCCCATTAGCAGTCATTCCATTTTCTCTCTAGCTATCCCCCTCTCCCACTCTCAGCCCCAGGCAACCACTAATCTATTTTCCATCTCAATAGATTTGCCTATTCTAGAAATTTCATATAAATTGAAACATACAATATACTGTCTTTATGACTGGCTTCTTTCTCATAGCATCATGTTTTCAAGATTCATCCATGTTGGAGCATGATCAGTACTTCATTCCTTCTTATTGCCAAATAATATTTCATTGTATAGATATACCACATTTTATTTATCCATTTTATTTGATGGACATTTGAGTTGTTTCCCCTTTTTGGCTATTATGAATAACACTGCTATGAATGGCTTGGGTTTTTAAAAATGTAGTCTTCTCTAATTTTTGAGATTTGTCTTCTGGCTTAATATAAGATCAGTGTTTCATGGGTGCTGGAAAAGAAGGTATAATCTCTCAAATTACTCTTATAATTGCATTATAATATTCAAATTATTAATTTTTGACAACTAAGTTTATTAAGGACAGAGATGTATGTTAGAATCCCCTTGAATTTCTAGTAGTTTCTGCCTTGCATATTTTGTTTATAGAAGTTTATAACAGTTTTAGATTCATTATGAAATATCTCATATAAAATTGGTTCCATTTGTTATTTGCTTTTACTTCTTTGATATTGTATGACATCTATTTTACTTTTTTCATTTTATATTTATTTTATTTTGCATTTGCATCTTATTTGCTAAATGAAGTCTTCTTTAAAAATCGATTCATAATATTTTACATACATATGTGATATTTTGTCACATGCATAGAATGTATAATGATCAAGTCAGGGCATTTGGGGTATCCATCACCTTGGGTATTTATCATTTCTGTGTACTGGGAACATTCCAAGTCCTCTCTTCTAGCAACTCTGAAATATACAATAAATTATTATTAACTGTAGTCAGTCACCCTACTCTGCTATTGAACATTAGAACTTATACCTTCTATCTAACTGTATGTTTGTACCTATCAGCCAACCTCTCTTCATCCCCCCCTCCCCAACTCCCCTCACACATACACACCCTTCCCAGCCTCTGGTATCTATCATTCTGTTCTCTACTTCATGAGATAAACTTTTTTAGCTCCCACATATGAGTGAAAACTTGTGATATTTGTCTTTCAGTGCCTAGCTTATTTCACTCAACATAATGACTTCCAGTTCCATCCATGTTGCTGCAAATGTGACATGATTTCATTCTTTTTTATGGCCAAATACTCTATTTAAATGTGTATATACACCACATTTTCTTTATCCATTCTTCCATTTATGGACACTTAGGTTGATTCCATATCTTTGCTATTGTGAATAATGCTACAGTAAACATGGGAGTGTAGGGCAGGCGCGGTGGCTCACGCCTGTAATCCTAGCTCTCTGGGAGGCCGAGGCGGGCAGATTGTTTGAGCTCAGGAGTTCGAGACCAGCCTGAGCAAGAGCGAGACCCCGTCTCTACTAAAATTAGAAAGAAATTAATCGGACAACTAAAAATATATAGAAAAAAAATTAGCCGGGCATGGTGGCGCATGCCTGTAGTCCCAGCTACTCGGGAGGCTGAGGCAGGAGGATCGCTTGAGCCCAGGAGTTTGAGGTTGCTGTGAGCTAGGCTGACGCCACGGCACTCACTCTAGCCCGGGCAACAGAGTGAGACTCTGTCTCAAAAAAAAAAAAAAACATGGGAGTGTAGATACCCCTTTGATACATTGATTCCTTTTCCATTGGATAAGTACCCAGTAGTGGGATTCCTGGATTGTACGGTAGTTTTATTTTTAGTTTTTTGAAAAATGACCACACTGTTTTCCACGGTGGCTGCACTAATTTGTATTTCCATCCGCAGGGTACAAGCTCCCCTTTCACTGCATCCTCAACAGGATTTGGTGTTTTTTGTCTTTTTAATAATAGCCATTCTAACTGGGTTAACATGATATCTCGTTGTGGTTTTGAGTTATTTGCATTTTCTTTATAAATCTTTGACTATATTTTAGATTTTAGTATTTTAAGTTGCTTTGATTTACACGTGAACCTTGTAAACAGCATTTAGTTGGACCCAATATGAGAGACCTTGCCTTTTAATAGGGGAATATAACTCTTTCACATTTGCTTAGTCTTATGCCATATAATTGAGTTGAATATCATTATATTCTTTCCTTTTTCATGCTTTCGTATCCTTTCCTTGCTCTCTTCTGGCTTCCTGTAAACTACAACGTTTTTCTGCTTGGTCATTGGCAAATCTCCATCTCCGGTCTACAGACGGAGGGGCATGTTGATATGCACAGCTCCGGAGTCTGTTCCCACTTTGTCTGAGGCTAATCAGTTCAGAGATGGGATTGATGGTATTAGGGTAGGGGTAGCCTAGTGCAGTCCACTGGTTCAACTAGCAGAGGTGCTCCAGATCGTCAAGGATGGCCTCTTTTCCCTAAAAAGGATGATCATGAGAGCTGTCCTATATTGTCTGCTTTCTCTGTGCCTCGCACTTTGCTAGGCATTTGAATTCACCATCTCATAGAACGCTCACAATAGCCCAGTGAATAGCAGGCACTGAGAGATTGCCTAAGGTCACATAACTGCAAAGTGACAAAGCCAAGACTGGGCCCAGATGGTCTGGCTATAAGCCCTAAGCTCCTGACACTGCCCTCTCCTGACTTCCTGCCCCCACTGTTCGGGTCATTACTTTCCTGACCCCCCCTTACAGTTGCCACCTGTATGTCATCTGCCATTTATGGCTTGTGAGTGGCCTCCATCAGGCACTGTTGTGAAGGGGATGAATTGTCTCCACTCTTTCTCGTGACGCTCTCTGTTGTTGGACCACAAAGCAGTGCTGTCTTGGGCTTCCAAGGTCATTGGTCAGCCTGTGC